AGCAGGGAGCCCGATGCGGGACTCGATCCCGGGACTCCAGGATCATGACCTGAGCCGAAGGCAGTCGCTTAACCAACTGAGCCACCCAGGCGCCCTGAATTGGAGTTTTAAGAATATAGCTTAACTGAGAAATTGATGATTGGATAACTTTCTTTTGTTTTCAGTCTTCATTGCTTCAGATATATTAGTATTGACAAACTAAAATTGATGTTATAGATATAATAATTCACATCACTTGTACAGTAGTGTTAGTATAATTAAAGTGATTTTATAGTTATGAAGTGAAATTAATTTGTATATGTGTTTTCAAATTCTTGTTTTTTAAAGCCTGGTGAATTTATAGTGGTCACTCAGAACCTACAGATGCATAGATTAAAAACAAAATAGTTTAATTTCTGATCTCATTCTTTTTGTTTTGTTTTATTTTTGTTTTTGTTTTAAACAGTTCTGGATAGTAAAGCAATAGACCTTATGAATGCACTAATGAGGCTAAATCAGATCAGACCTGGGCTTCAATATAAGCTTTTGTCTCAGTCTGGCCCTGTCCACGCCCCAGTCTTCACAATGTCTGTAGATGTGGATGGTACAACATATGAAGCCTCAGGGCCATCCAAGAAAACAGCAAAACTTCATGTAGCAGTGAAGGTACAGTACTGCATTTATTTAGCAGGGCTTTGTTATTTTATGTTGTAAATAAGGTGCTTATTTTTCTAAAATAAATTAACAGACTTTTTAAAGATTTTAATGATAATTACATAAAGATTTTTGTCACCTCTGGATTACAGAATTTTTCTTTTTTCATTATAAAATAATATGTATATTCCAAATAAAATTTGGAAAATGCAGAGGAAAGTAAAGACATAAAAAATATGGGGCAGATCATTAATATTTATATATAGTATGTTTGTTTAGGTTGAGCTCACAGAGTGTATGTAATTTATCCTCTGATTTTTTTTCATTTACTATGTCATCAATGTTTTCTCAGGTTATTAAAATCCTCACAAATAATTTTTAATGACCAAATGATTAACATGATATGGATATACTATTATTTGTTTAGACATTTTACTATTCATTGAATATTTTGCTGTTTGCAGACTTTGCTGGTCATAAATAAATTTAATTATTATCTTCCTGCATATGGTGCCTTTTCTGTATTTCACATTATTTCCGTAGGGAATAAGGTCCAGGATCGAACCAACCAAACATGCATGTAGGTTTGTAGAAAGTCCCTAAATCCTGGAATTTTTCCATGAGTACATTTGCCCTCTTGTAGACAAATGTGAAAATGTCAAAGATCGTGTAGACTAAAGATCAATTTTAATTTAAGAAAAGTTCTATTATGTAACAGTATGGCATAAGACAGAATTGGTCTGTTTTCATGATCATTCCATTTTGTAAGTATTATTAATAAAGATGTGAACATTGTCCTAGATTCTAAGGATATAGCAGTGAACAAAACAAAGCCCTTGGCCTCCTGGAGCCTGCATTCTAGTGTGGAAAGGATTGGAGACAGACAACAAATATACAAATGAATAAATTCTAAGGCAGGTAGTAATAAGCACAATGTAGGAAAATAATAACTAAACTGTAAACATATAAAACAACACTTATGTTGTGTCTTGTTTACAAAAGGGGTACTTCAAGTATGATGAAATAGTGAGAGTTTAAAATGAGGCAGAAAAAATGAAGAATGAGGGAAAAAAATGAATCCAGGAATAAAGCTAAAAATACGGCTCAGTAACTTAGCCCCATAATGTATGCTGAGAATGAGTCACAAATTAAGATCTCAGTTCTCTAGAATCTGACTCAAAAAGCTTATGAAATATCCCTTCATAGTGACATAAGAACTGTTGACATAGTGACATAAGACAGTTGATTATAAGAGTCATAGTTGTTTTGGTATACAGATCAAATGGACATTCTCCTTGAGTGGGTCTTCATAAAAAAGGATTGCAGTGACATCCTTAAACATCATATGTGATGCAGTGAAAATTTGTGGGTTGTTTGTTATGATTGCCTTTAATGTAAGCTAGTGGCCTCATACCAACTTGTAATTCAGTAAAATTTGGGAGTAAGAACAGTGGGAGATTTTGTAATATGACAGGATTTAGATGCTATTTGTTCTCATAATTACTATTAACATTTTGGTATGTATTTTTCCAAGCCTTTTTTTTTTAAAACCTGCAGTTCCAAAATCCATAAAGCACTGAAAATGAAAAATAATTCCTGAAGTTTGATGAAAACTCACTTGATGGGAAAACCTGACCTGAATTGTTGTAGAACTACTTTTAGTCTTTATTATTCCATTTCGTGTGAATATTTTATATGTTCCTTTGCACAAACATGGGGTAGCACCTGAACTCAACTGGGGATTTGGAAAATATATAGTAAATATTTTGTATTCGCTTTCTAAACTCTGAAAAACTATGAATTCTCGAAACAATCTGGCCCCAAGAGTTTTAGATTAGGAGTGGTGGGACCTACATAGTGGGAATACAAAATATATAATTAAAACAAGTATTATTTTTGTTCATCTAAGAATATGAGGGCTTTTTTTTATAGTTATCACAAAGATTGTTCTCCTTTTTAGTGATGGCCTAATATTTTTTTTATTGTCAATCTACCGTAATGTAACTGATCTTTTAGATTTAGATGCTGCCAGTTGGTTGCTTTACATCTTTTTAAACTAGTCTCATTATCCCTTAAGATATATGTTAGGGTCACCTAGCTGGCTCTGGTCGGTAGAACATGCGACTCTTAATCCTCAGGGTCGTGAGTTCAAGCCCCGTGTTGGGTGTAGAGCTTACATTAAAAAAACAAAAGTAACAAGTAAAGACAAATTCTAGAAATGAAATTAGATCAAGAAGAGGGCACATTTGAGTGATCCATTAATTCATTAAATAGGTATTGGGCTTCCTATTATATGCCAGGCATATATTGCCAAACTGCCATCTATATACAAGTTTCAGGTTCTGTTTTACAGATGAATTTGAGAGTGGTTTATATCTGACATGAAAGTGGTTCCCACTAGATAAAAATCCTTAGATTTCTTACTCAGTAGTTTGGTAGGAGTCTGTACCTGTTAAGACAAATCACACTAGAGAATCAAATCAAAACAAAATACGAAAAAGCAGTTCCTGCCACAGGAGCCTGACCTCCAGCAGTAGGCAGCCTGAAGTGATGGAGATCAGTTGCCAATCTTTTCTTTCCTCTTCCAGCCCTTTTTTCTGATAGTCCCTCACAAAGAACATAATCAGCGATATTCCATGAAAAGAAATCTTAGTCATTGTACGGAAAAGGTCAGGACAAGGAGTGAAGGCTCTTTGGGAGAGGTTCTTGCAGCCATCAGCTCTCCACCATCCAGAAGCCATGGATAGGACTTTCTTTTGAGTGGAGAGCCATACAGTAGAGTATGTTTTCATGTGTTTTCTTTTCACCTTTGTCCTGTAGTCTTTTTTTTCTTTTAAAGATTTTATTTATTTATTTGACAGAGACACAGCGAGAGAGGGAACACAAGTAGGGGGAGTATGAGAGGGAGAAGCAGGCTTCCTGCTGAGCAGGGAGCCCAATGCGGGGCTCAATCCCAGGACCCTGGGATCATGACCTGAGCCGAAGGCAGACGCTAAACGACTGAGCCACCCGGCGCCCCTGTCCTGTAGTCTTTGAGGTTATCAGCTTTCCCAGCCTCAACCCCCTTCTGGGTGGGCGGGGGGAGGGCATGGTTATACTGAATTTCCCAGTCACCTTGTTTCCAGGAATAATCTTGTGATTTTTCAGCCCAATTGATGTGTTTATTAGATATGATTTGTTTGCCAGACACTTGAAACCACTTTTTTGGTGTATCAGTTTTTTGGCTTCAGTATTGATTCCAAGCAAACTTTCGTTCTAGAGGTCTGAGAACTCATTACTTTTTTTTTCTTTAGCTTTTGTAGCATATACTAGTTAATAATCTCATGTATTCATAGGAAAATGACATAATTTTACATTTTTTTGTTAGCTGGTCTGTATTGCAAATATACTGTACCCCTTGAGATTATCCATCAGTTATATAAACTATAGTGTAGTGAAATATGTTGCTGCAATAACAAATAAATGAATATGATATGTGAGAAAAGCACACAGAGAAATGGTGTTAAAATAATTCACATTAGACTTATTTTAACTGTCTATGTTAAATTGGGAAAAGCTGCATTTCTTTAGTTTTTATTGGAATAAACAAATCAAATTTATTTGTGACTCTTGACTTTTTTGACTTGCAGCCTGTATTAGCCTGGTGTTCATTCCAGACTGATAACTGTTCTTTCAGAGATGAGATTTTTCAGGGAGAGCATATTTACAGGACTCATACAGTGGAGAAGGTGTTTTCTTTGTAAAATATTGACGAGGATAAGCTAAATGATGTTAACATACTTAGTCTTACAGTACTACTTGAGAACTTCTAAAACTTAAGATATTGAAAAGAGGTTCTTGGCTTTCATCTAGTGATTACAAAGAATTAATTTATGATTTGAAATGTTCAACAGAATGCCAGAGTTTCCATATGAATTGGGTGAATTAATTTCAAATTCTCTTGGTACAGAGTTCTACTTATGTCCATTTTTTACAGATTTTATTTATATTGGCAGAATCCATTATAGAAGATGCCATTGTTTATAAAATTTAGGCTGCCTGGTCTCTCATTCGTGGGACTATCATAACTGTTTTTTGAGACATCTATTACGTATAGTTGGGATTGTAAAGAAATATGACATTGCTTTTACACTCCAGCAACTTAAAACATTAGTCAAAAGCTGAAACAAATACAGAGATGTTTACGAACCTATCTCCATATATTTTGATATAAACCTTTAAATTAGTAACTGACAATGCAACATTAGTCTGTTTGAAAGAGGCTTATAAAAATGCTAGTGAATGTATTTTCTTGTAAACATCTAAAAAGCAGTATAACCTGACAGGAGATATTAAAAGCCATGCTTGTATGTGTGTATGCTCATGGGCACATGCATGCCCCCAGACACACACACACACACACACACACACACACACAGTTCAGAAGACTTTATTTTAAAAAAGATAAGAAATGCCAGGCATTGAATGGTAATATAAGAAGAATGGACATTGGAGGAAGCCATAATGTAACTAGGCCTTGAGGGGATGGAAATACAAACCTAATATTGTTCCTGGTTCACTTACTATAGCAAATAAATCTTGAGACTGAATCCTTTCTTTCAAGTATTGATTTTGGTTTAAGTTGAAAGCAAAGAGGTCAATAGAAAGCTTCAGATATTATATAATTAACAGGCAAATTGGTTCCAGCATGAAGACTTCTTGATTCCCTTTCTGTGCTAATTCCCCTGATGGATTGAGTCATAGAATTTAGAGGTCAACTAATCAGTCTTCCTGTTTTGCAGATTGGAAAATTGAGGACCAGAGGAGAAATATAGGATTAGACCGCCACGTCTTTTCCTTTGTAGTCCATTGTACTTTTTTCATTATGTTATTTTATTTTTCCCCTCACCTCCTTGGTTGAACTCTGGCCTTCAAATTAAATGAACCAGAAGCAACCTCAGGTTTGCATTTCTGTCATCCTTTATTTAAGCCTAATTACTCTGAGGATGTTTTTCCCATTCTCCGTGGTGAAACTCTAGTAGGTAGGTAAACTTAGTTTAACCAAGGATTTGTAGATTTAGCACCCTCTTGCTCTTCCTGCAAGGTGTTTCATGGATTCAGATGTTATGGATTTGAAACTTGTTTTCAGTATTTCATCTCTTCTCTGTGGTCTCTGATGTTTGAATAAAACTGAATTTAATGTAATTTGTACAGGTATTACAAGCAATGGGATACCCAACGGGCTTTGATGCAGATATTGAATGTATGAGTTCCGATGAAAAATCAGATAATGAAGGCAAAAATGAAACAGTCTCTTCAAACTCAAGCAATAATACTGGAAATTCTACAACTGAAACCTCCAGTACCTTAGAGGTATATTTATATGTATTTTTTTCCTTAGAAAAAAAGGAGTATATGTAGACTGTAGAAAATTTGAGAGATGTGGAAAAGTATAAATAAGAAAATCAAAAGCATATACAAATGTATATATTCCAGAGATAGCCATTATTAATATTTTGGTTTATTCCCATCCAGCCTTTTTTTCTGGCAGTCATATTTTCATGCAGTTTTACATTTTGTTTTTTTTCCACTTAACTTTAAAAAAAACCTGTAAACATAGCTGTATAGTACACAACACATGAATGTATCCTAATTTAACTAGAATTTTCCTTTTGCTGGCCATGGAAGTTCCTTCTAGTATTTCACAGTTAAAATATATCAACAATATCAACAATAACTAAAGAGTGAAAAACGAGGCCTAGCAGAGGAAATTTAGGTTTATTTGAAGTTTATGCTGAGCTATGGGAGGCAGTGGATCATTATGGAGCCGATCTAGCCTTGAGGAAGGCATAGCCTGATCTAGTATGTTCCTCAGACTCTGAGTAGGTCCTAACGTATGAGCTTATTGCCACAGATAATAGAATGGGACAGAAATCTAAGTACTGACTATACACAGCATTTTTGGGAATTCATGGGGTACTCATTCATTACATTCTGCAAGAAAAATTGGCTCTGAAGTAACAGCAAGAGGTTACATTAAGTTTTTAAAAAAATTTTTTTCATTTGGGGGAATGAGATCTATCAAAGACTGGACCATAATATTTTCAGTCTGCAAACCTTTTGTAGTGCCTGCTTACTGCCAGATGCTGCAGAGCCTCAAAATGTTCTCAGGCTAGAGGCACAAAAGACATATCCATAACTAATTACAATGTAATGTGATAAGTACCATGATGGCAAAGTGAACATAATAATGTAAAATCTCAAAAGAAGAAGTGATTAGGAAACTTAGACACCTGTAAAATCAAAGGGAGTAAAATGTGAGTGAAGTTTTAGGTGATGAGTAAGATTTTGCTATGTGGAGAAGAGGTGGAGAGAAGGCATTTTGGATCAAAGGAATAGGAGGTATAATGACCTGAAGTTGTGAAAGTACATGTTTGAGAGGTGCCAGGCAGGCCAGTATGGAGGGACAGATGGAGGCTGAGGCCTGTGGAAGCCTTGTCTGACTTTCCATGTGATACCGTGGAGGAGCCCTGGCACCTGGCTTTTCAGAGGACCAGTCATTCACAGGTGATTGTCACAGGCACGACAAGGTGTTTTGCTGGCAGTGTTATAAATACTTAGAGAAGAAAGAGCTCATTAATTATGAGACTTAGACTGTTCAGGGGAATTGGGAGAGAGAGAGAGCAGTGTGGGCTGCACTAACAGCAGCCACGTGCATGTATGGTGCTTTTGGTAGGAATACATCTATGCTTTGTTTCTATATAGTGTAGTAATGGCATGAGGGTTGGGGGGAAAGAAAGCCCTTATTCTTCATTTAAAATTAAAATATTAAAATGCAAATATTTATATGCCTTGACTCATTTTTATAAAAGTGATTTCAGATTTGGAAAGCAGAGAGTGATTACCGTAGACCTAGGTTCACAAATTATTCATTACCTTTTAAAGATGGAGACTGGAGGGGTGCCTGGGTGGCTCAGTCGTTAAGCGCCAGCCTTTGGCTCAGGTCATGATCCCAGGGTCCTGGGATCAAGCCCCCGCATTGGGCTCCCTGCTCCGCGGGAAGCCTGCTTCTCCCTCTCCCAATCCCCCTGCTTGTGTTCCCTCTCTCGCTGTGTCTCTCTCTGTCAAATAAATAAATAAAATCTTAAAAAAAAAAAAAAAGATGGAGACTGGCAATTTGCTTTGCAATTAAAAAATATAGATTACAAAAACTCTTCAAGAAGTGAGGTGTTGTTTTTTTGTTTGTTTGTTTTTTTATTGCAGAAGACCCAGGCACGTTTATTAAACTTGTCTTGAAAAGTTGTCCAGTGTTTCATTTTTTTCCCCTACAGCATTAACCACTTAGTAAATCAGCACAGAATAGTTTATTAAGAGACTCTTGCTGTCCATTGGATTTATATGTATACATAAGAATTGTTTGAGGCATTCATTTCTTCTTTTTTTTTCTTTTTTTAAGATTTTATTTTTTTAGGTGAGGGGAGAGAGAGAGAGCGTGCATGCTCGAGAGCATGAGCAGGGGGGAGGGGCAGAGGGAGAGGGAGAAGCAACTTCCAGCTGAACAGGGAGTTCCATCTCAGGACCCTAGGATCATGACCAGAGCTGAAGGCAGTCACTTAACCGTCTGAGCCACCCAGGCGCCCCTGGGGCATTCATTTCTTTGTTCGGTATTTCTTGAGCAATTACTATGGTAGAATTACAGACATGATCTCTAACCTCAAAAAGTACTCAATCTTTGGGTCTCTCTCCTTTCTCAAAATTATAGGTGCAGTATTTTGTGGTTTATTTTTGGTGCTGCACTTCATTTCAGGCTTCACACTCTTACAGGAATTACTTTTTTTCCTTACTCTAGTCTTAATCCTTCCTCGAGTCAGTTCTTTCTGCTACTCCTGGCATGATTTTTCTACAACACAAATCTAATCCTGAATTTTCTAGATTAAAGTCGTTTAATCATAGTTCTTAACTATGGCTTATCATAGTTCATGATAAAGTCAAAGCTCATTTGCGTGGCATGCAAAGTCCTTTATGAATTGGCGCCATCAAGGGCGTTTCTAGTCAGGTCCTATCTTCCTGTGCTCACTCCCTTATACAGCCAAACTGTGCTTCTCGCCATTTCCCGAACAGATGTTCTTTTCTTCTCTTGGGCCTTTCCACGGCTGTTTCTTCTGTCTAGAATGCCCTTCTCCTTTGTTTCCACCTTATCGTGGTCTGGTGCTTACCTCTTTAAGGTTTAAGGTCAGGTTCGCATGTCACTTCCAGGAAAACTATCCTGATTGCCCTAGAAAATGATTGCTGCTTCTGTGTTTCCATAACATACATCTGTTGTATAATATACAGTTTTACAGTGATTATGTCTGTCCCTCCCACTATACTCTAGCTCCTTTGAGCGGGGAGTGACTGCTTTTATTCTTATTTTTAAATTTCAGAATCCATAGTCTGTAGCCTACTGTTTTTACCTTAGGTGCCCTTAAGTCTCTTTTGAGAGAACTGAGAGCTGTGTAGGAACATTTTCTTCCCATCTCCCAAGTTGAGAGTTATTTCTTCCTAACCCTAAAGATGAAAAACAGTGAATATTCAGGTGTCATGTGAATCTCAACTGTTCTGTCCACTTTGTTAGTCATTTAAAGTATTATTCTTAGATCATGAACACCACAGAGCAGACTCTAGAGTGCCATGTAATGGCAAGGCCACATTGCTCTTGAACAGTGTTGAGACAGCCCTACTTTAAGGGTAGGCTGGCTAGATGACTGACTGCCATGTTTATTGCCTGTAGAGTTTCCATACCTTTAAAGGTATTTTGTCGTTTGTATGTAGAGGTGATCACATCCTAGTCCCTAAATGCTTTAAAGTGTAATTTTTGAGCCTCTTTTCAACAGAAACATAGTATAATTGTATTAATAAGAAATTTAATACTCTAAAATCTTACTTGGTTGAACCTCCTTTTAGGTAAGAACTCAGGGCCCTATCCTCACAGCAAGTGGCAAAAATCCCGTAATGGAGCTCAATGAAAAAAGAAGAGGTCTTAAGTATGAACTCATCTCGGAGACTGGTGGAAGCCATGACAAACGCTTTGTAATGGAGGTGTGTACCTAGATTCAAGCCAACCTTAGTTTTTGCCTCAAGGACATAGGCTATCCTGAGCTTATACGTAAAAAAGTTTTAGACTGAGTTAATTCTTGTGGCACTATTTGACTTTCGGTGTTTTCTGTGTTGTGATACATTTAAATTAAAACTACATAGAGGAATTGCATGGGATAATTGCAGAGTATTGTTCTTGATTTTAGGTAGAAGTAGATGGACAGAAATTCAGAGGTGCAGGTCCAAATAAGAAAGTGGCAAAGGCAAGTGCAGCTTTAGCTGCCCTGGAGAAGCTGTTTTCTGGACCCAATGCAGCAAATAATAAGAAAAAGAAGATTATCCCTCAGGTATGAGTTAAGCATTAAACCTTTGCAATACTTTTGAAAAATACTACCAAAATTAAATTTCCTTTTCTGCCTTGGTGCCACTTTAGCTTTTTCTGAAGTTGTTTCTTTTTCTTGCATTTGGCATCCTTTTCTTTGGGTTAGATCATAAATACTGTAATACTCACTTTTCTCTGGTCTTCATAGGCAAATTATATATTTTAAAAAGGCTGTTAGCATTATTTGGGGGCTTTCAGTCACTCTTGATGAAGTAGAGCATTGAGGGATCTGTACTTTTAGTGAGATGTTAGCATTTGTTTAGGGAAACTGCCAAGAGTATAGGGGCTTACTTTCATCAGAGTCTGCAGATGTGCTTCCATTTCCTTTCCAGTTTTGTCCGTTTGCATTATTTATTTTGTGTTTTCCTTTGGGGTGGCACAGTAGAACTTGGCCCTGTGTTCTGTTCATTCCTGACAATGGGCATGTCGGTCCTGCTGAATGCCCAGGACTGTAGAAAGGTCTTTAGAAAAGATGGCCTCCTAATTACATGTGTTTGGATAGCAGATCCTTCTATCCATTCATTTATGAATTCGCAAATATTTTCTAGTCATATACTATGTGCATGATTGTGAGGGCAAAAGAGATACATTATTAAATATAAGACCGTTCTTTCCCTGGTGGAGAATGCTGGTGCAGTAATGTCTGAATAGATTATGTGATAGAAACAAGTCAATTAAAAATGTTTAGACTAATAGAAGGAAGATTACTTAAGGTTCTGAATGAAACTGTTTAGTTTCTTTTACATACACTGAGTGCACTGGCTAAGGGTAGAGTTGATCTTGTTTTATAGACGAGGAAATGAGGCCCGAAGAGATACAGACACTGCCCTTATTACCACAGGTAACTGATGGTAGGGTCTCTTTCAGCTAGGTTCTTCTCCTTCCAAAGACCGTGGGCATTCTGTTGCATATTATAGCCATCTTAGAAATTTGTCTTGTCTTGTACTTATTGTAATAAACATTGCTTACATTCTAGGATTCAAAATATAACCAAGGGTAACTTTTACTGAGATGAAATACAAATAAAACGTTTAAATTGCACTGGTAAACACGCAGAGAGAGAAGTGGTTTTATTTCCCTAAAACCTTCCAGGAAATGTGCTAAATTAGTAGAAAGATAATTGTTACCTTGTTTGTTTTGGTGTGTTTTTACCATGAGTTACATCTTGTATTGGGTCAGTTAATTTTAGTGTTTAAAAAGAGAGTGCAGATACGTATTAGGTAGTTAAGTTTGGTTCTAGTAGACAAGAGCTCGATTTGTGTGGAGTCACTCTACTGCCACCAGATTGTTACTTCCTGACTACTTGGACTAAACTGTGTTTTTTTTTTTTTTTTTAAAAAAAAAGATATCTACATGAGGTTCACCCATTTTTAGAAATTTTCCATACTAGAAGCTCTAAAACTCATGTGTTCAATATGCTTGACGGTCAGGAGGCAGTCTATTTTGGATGTGTGGGTTGCCTTTTTTTTCAGCCAGATAGAAAAATGGCTGTTCCCTGTGCATGATACATTTGACCTTGAAACTGTCTTCTGCCCAGTTATGCTTGTGGTAGAGGTGTTCCCATGAGGAATAAAAGATGATGGCTTTTCAGTGTGAGATAAATGTGTGTATACTCTGAATGTTTAAGCTGTTTGAAATATTGTTGACTTTATTCCACCCTGAGCTCTGAGGCTCTGCACCTTGGTTATAGGAGGGAATTCTGGTAGTTTTTAGTTTGAATTTTTGTTGTGTCTTTATATTTAAAAAATAAGTATAATGTTTCATTTAAAACTAGATATTCTTGATTTTCTTAAAATTTCAGTTTTAGAAAGGGATGTTTTAGCAGCCCTCTGTTCTGTTTGTCCTTATCTAGTATACTTTTCAGAGTTTGCTGTTTTCTCAATTGCTCTTTCTCCTCTGAAGTAGAACAAAGAGGATATCATTATCCTCATTGTATAATTAGTGGGAGACTCCGATAGACATAAAGATTTGTGATTTTTACCAGAGTCCCATGGCATTTTAGAGCAAGAGGGGACTTTAGAGGTGGTATTTCTTTAATGATTGGTACATGTACATACACATACACACATACACACATACACGTATAGCAGAAAATACAGACTCAGAGAAATCACATGACCTTCCTGGAGTTCTCATTTTTGGTCTTTCTTCATAGTTCTGTTTTTTTTTTTGTTGTTGTTGTTATTGTTTTTTTCTTTACTCAGGTTCACAGCTAATTCTTGGTGGTTTATTGGGTAGTTTTTGTTTGTGGGCGGAGAATTCAGTGGATTTCAAACCTAGGTATCAAGTGTCTATAATTACTTTAGTCGGGTCTAAAATGTAATGGATGTAATTTGACTACGAAATCTGTGTGTAGAAAATGAACTCTTTCTGAGTAACCCTCAAGTAAAAAGAAGAAGTTATTTGCATACTTTTATAAGCGCCCAAATATTCTTCAGAACAGCTCTGTTACGGTAGGTGTCATTTTTATTTTATAGATGATAAAGGTTCAAGGTCATAGACACTCATTGACTCATCTACAGGCTCAAGTTTCTCATAGAGGTTGTGCATTAGAGAGATGATGGGGTGTTAGTTCTTATTTCTCTCAGTAATGAAGATGTGTTATTTTTAACAGGCAAAGGGTGTTGTGAATACAGCTGTGTCTGCAGCAGTCCAAGCTGTTCGAGGCAGAGGAAGAGGAGCTCTAACAAGGGGAGCTTTTGTTGGGGCTACAGCTGCTCCTGGCTACATAGCTCCAGGTAGAGTATAGCCTGCAAGAGGTCTGCCTCCTCTTCTGGGCTTTGAAGAACAGCATCTCCTTTATTTTCTAGGGTTATACACAGTCCCTGGAAACATAACACAGGTGTAAGATGGGTGTGCACGGAAATTCAAAAGAAGAGAATCTACAGAATGTCATAGGTTTTCTCCTGGAATCTGCTGAGTGACTAGAGGTGTTCTGGAGGGAGGTGACAGATGAGGAATATTGCACTTGGTTGAGAGGACATATTTTGATAATGAGGAAGCTAACAAATACTCCACAGATTGAGGAGTGTGGACATGTGAGCAGGGTGCATTCAGCGGGGACATGTAGAGGATGGTTGGGTATAACAGGAGAGGAAAACTGCTGGTAAGAGACTCCCTCATTGGGGTGAAGCCTAGCATTAATAGGTTTCTTTAACTCAGTATTTGGGATCCAGCAAAGGTCTACAGAAGTACAAAAAGAGAAAAATTAAAAAGAAAAAAAAATGGGTAACTTATTTATCCAGAGCTTACTATACAACAGATACTTTGGTATAAATGATTTCACTTAATTGTTTTTTAATCCTCACAGTGTTTCCTCAAGTAGAAATTATTTCCGTTTTCTAGGTGAGGGAACTAAGGTTTAATGGGAGAAGGCAGCTAGCTCAGTCTGAGACATGTAGCGAACAGCAGAGCTGAGATTTGAATGTAGGTGTTTGCAGTTCTAGAGTTTATATTCTTTCCATTTCACCACATGGCTTGAGGGAGATGGGGGAAAAGATGCCCTCCTTCTGCCTTCTGTTCTAATACTTACGTCATTTCAGCAGTAGATGTAGAGCTGTCTCATTAAAGTCAGGTTGTCTGCCATATTGAACCTATGGAACTTTTCACTTAACAAGTAGACTGCTTGTAATTGTTGATCGGGATGAAATTGTCATAAGGATTGGATCTTATACCATCATTATTTTTTTATGTAATATTGCTAAGAAGTTCACTTAGATTGTGTGTGTGTGTTTGCTTTCTTCTTTTCTCTTTCTCTCTCTCTCTTTCTTTCTCTCTCTCTCTTTTTCTCTCTTTCTCTCTCCCTCCTCTCTCTCCCTTCCTTCCTTCCTTCCTTCCTTTCTTTCTTTCTTTCTTTCTTTCTTTCTTTCTTTCTTTCTTTCTTTCTTCTATCTTTCTTTCTTTTCTTTCTTTCTAGAATAGACTATTTGGGAAGTTCTGTGGATGATGTGGTTTTGGAATTAGGAATTGTCCCAGTAGGGGCAGAGCTCAAAGATGTGTCATGGAATGAATATGTTCACTCATTGAAATAACATGTGCCTGCTTTGGGAGTTTACTGTCGTGCAGCTTATGATCTAAAGGTGAGACAGGCCAGTCAGATAAGTCACTCACTTACCAACTGAGAAGGTTGTGATGAAGGACAAGGGTATGTTCTATGAGAGAATGTAACAGAAAAACTGGGTCTAAGATTTTGGGCCTGAAGGCCTTCCCGCAAAGAAGTGACACTTGACCTGAGCTTTAGAGAGTGAGGAGGCGTTAACTTGGAGAAGACTAGGGTGGACGAGTGTTGTACACAGAGGGAACAGCATGTGCAGAGACTCTGCGCTGCTGGGCCAGGGAACTCGGCTGGTGAGGATTAGAGGAAGGCCAAATGTCTGTAGTGTGGAAAGCACTCTGTGTTTTGGGTGGGGGCTGGTGGGGAGAGACACAACAGGGACAGGGAATGATTTGAGCTAAAGCTAGACACTCGGAACCCCAGTCCTGGAGGCAAAGGTGTGGATTTTGGCCTTAGAATGCTAAGTGTAGTGGGAAGTCGTGAAGGGCTCTGAGGAGAGAAGTGACGACATCAGACTTTTCTGTAAAGATCATCGTCTATAGTGTGAAGAATAGACTGTAGGTACAGAAGTGGATGTGAAAAGACAAGTTAGAAGGTTCTGGTAAACTCATAGCTCAGGCCAGAGACAGTGCAGGTATCTCCAGTGGGTGCAGGGAAGCAGATGGGTGGCAAGAAGCAACCGGATTGAAGGCGTACTGCAGAAGCACAATTAATGGATTTAATGTGGAGAATGAAAAAGAGGGAGGTTTCAAGGATTTCTCCCAGCATTTTTAGCGAGAGGAACTGGGTCACTGAGTGTGCCATTTAAGGAGATGGAGAATGGTGAAGGATGAGGAGGAAGGGAGGAAAAGGTTCATTGGGGTTTTATTCCGTTTATGGGTCCCAAATTAAGACACTCTTCTGTGCATCTCACTGTTTCTACTGATATTTCATATTCTTTTGCCTCATCCAATCATTATTTAAAGAAAGCAGCTTTTATTAATAATAGGCAAGTTATTGAGATGAACTTTCTTGCCTTTGATTGCATGTTCAGTGGGGGCTTTGTCCATTTGGGAGTGTCTGCGGTCATGTGGTCAGCGACGCTTACCTCCCACCCATCATCTAGTGGCAGTGGTCGTGAAAGGCTTCGTGTGTGTCTGCTTGTTGCCAGGCTCGTTGGCTCTATAGTAGCTTTTCTCTTATGTCATCACATTGACCTCTGTGAAAGGCCTGTCTCGTGAAGCTTTTATTTTTTATTTTATTTTTTATTTTTTTTAAAGATTTTATTTGTTTGACAGAGAGAGACACAGC